TATTATATATATATATATATATATAATATATATATGATATATATATACTGCACCTTGGGCGGCACTACCAATAGCCAATTCCTGGAGGACGCCCGATAACCGACCGATATGCTACGCCTGCTTTACTCCCAGACACGTTGCCCGCTACTGCCGCCGTCGACCTCAGACGTTCGGCGACTATGTCTGATCGTCGCAACCCGGCAGCCAACCCATCGCGCAATACGCGCCGGTCTCGTCACCTCGCTATGCCCCTCCTAACGACCCCGGCTTCGTGACGCCGCGCGCACCCTCTCCTCGTCGGCGATCGCCCTCCCCCAATGCGTCGCCGGCCCAGACCTCCTGACCAGGAAACTAAGCACCGCAGTTCAAGAGGCAAGAACTGCGCCATTTTCAAACTGTCTAAGTCCTCGCCCCTCTCCTGCTAACGTGGTCGCAGTAACTGTTGAAGGTTATTCTACTTTCGCCCTTGTAGACACCGGCGCTGCTGTTTCTGTTATTGCCGCTAATGTCTGCCGTGTATTACGTAAAGTCACGACGCCGCTTTCGAGACTGTCACTCCACACCGCAAGTGCACAGCCAGTAACGCCTCTCGCAGCCTTCACTGCAAGAGTGTCCATCAAAGGCATTGTTTACACTGTGGAGTTTATTGTCCTCGCTGTCTGTTCGCATGATGTCATCCTCGGATGGGACTTCCTATCCCGCCATAATGCCGTCATCGACTGCGCACGCGCTGAAGTTGAGTTTTCACCCTTTTGTGATGTCCCATTACTTGACGCTCTTCATCAGCCGCCGAAGTTGTTCGTGCATGAAGACACCGACCGATATTCCACCTGAAAACTTCGCACTTGTTCCAGTTTCATGCAACGCTTACACTGACGCTACAGTCTTTTTTATGCCTTCCGATATCTTCACGAGTCGTCGCGCTCTGCCACTGCCTTTCGCAACGATTGACCTTGCCGCCGGAAGAAGCAATATGTTCATACTCAACCCGCTTTCCACACCTGTCACTTTGCTTGCGGGAGAATGTCTCGGTCGCGTGCAGGATCTCGACCCTTCGTCTTTGGTGGATGTCCCGGATGACTACTGCGACCACCCAAAATCACTGTCGGCCCTCGAGGAGTCGTCCAAGGATACGTTTTCCAGCGCCATCGCCGACACCCTCACTCCCACCGAACATGCCGACCTGCTTGATCTTCTGCATGAGTTCCGGAATTTCTTCGATGTGTCCCAACCTCAACTAGGCCGCACGTCGCAAGTCAAGCATCATGTTGACACCGGCATACACCAGCCACTGCGTCAAAGACCATACCGTGTCTCCACTGAAGAGCGCCGCGTCATCAACGATCAAGTCGAAGATATGCTTCGTAGAGACGTCATTCGACCATCTCACAGTCCCTGGGCGTCTCCCATCGTCCTGGTGCGTAAGAAAGACGGATCTATCCGATTTTGCGTGGACTATCGTCGTTTGAATAAGATAACCCGCAAGGACGTATATCCTTTGCCGCGCATTGATGACGCCATTGACACCCTTCATGGAGCGGAATTCTTCTCGTCGCTGGATTTGCGGTCTGGCTACTGGCAAGTTCCAATGGCTGAAGCCGATCGCCAAAAAAACTGCATTTATTACACCTGACAGACTATACGAGTTTAACGTCATGCCCTTTGGGCTTTGTAACGCGCCCGCCAAGTTTGAACGACTTATGAATAATACGCTACGTGGCCTCAAGTGGAATATGTGCCTCTGCTACCTCGACGATGTCGTGGTTTTCTCGCACGACTTTCCTACGCACCTCCTTCGCCTCAGGCAGGTTTTGACTTGTCTGACCAACGCTGGCCTGCAGCTTAACCTGAAAAAATGCCGCTTCGCTGCACGCGAGCTCGTCATCCTAGGCCACATCGTGTCGAAGCACGGCGTATCACCTGACCCAGCAAAACTTCGAGCAGTCGCAGAATTTCCCAAGCCGACGACCATGAAGGAACTTTGCAGTTTTGTAGGCCTATGTTCATATTTCCGGCGCTTTGTTCGCAATTTTGAATCCATCATGTCACCATTAACCCAGCTTCTTCGCGGTGACGTGAACCTCTCCTCCTGGTCTCCTGCATGTGACGTTGCCTTCACTACTCTGCGCCGTCTGCTCACCTCGCCACCTATTCTTCGCCACTTCGACCCGACGGCTCCTACCGAAGTGCACACCGACGCCAGCGGCGTCGGGCTAGGTGCTGTCCTCGCCCAACGAAAACCCGGCTATTCAGAATACGTTGTAGCCTACGCTAGCCGCACTCTGACGAAAGCCGAAACTAATTACAGCGTGACAGAAAAGGAGTGTTTGGCTCTGGTGTGGGCGCTTGGAAAGTTCCGGCCGTACTTATACGGCCGCCCGTTTGATCTAGTAACTGATCACCACGCGCTTTGCTGGCTCTCCACGCTGAAAGACCCTTCTGGCCGCCTTGCGCGATCGGCACTCCGCATCCAGGAGTACGACATTCGCGTCGTATATCGCTGTGGACGCAAACACTCTGACGCTGACGCCCTGTCCCGCTCACCTTTGCCACCAGATCCGACGTGCGGAAACACGTGCCTCCAGTACTTGTCATCGTTAAATCCTGACTCAATTGCCACCGAACAACGTCGTGACCCGTGGATCGCATCTCTTCTCGAATATCTATACGGTACGCCCAACCTTCCGGTATCTCGATCCCTCCGACGTCAAGCTTTCTATTTTGCCATCCGCGATCAACTTCTCCATCGACGCAACTACTCTTCTGATGGCCGCCGGTGGCTACTGGTCATTCCACGCACTTTGCGATCGCAGGTATGGGCTTCTATTCACGACGATCCACAATGTGGCCACGCCGGGGTGTTCAAAACATATGAACGCCTTCGCCATTGCTATTACTGGCGCGGCATGTACAATTTCGTACGCAAATTTGTGCAGTGCTGTCCTGACTGCCAGCGACGCAAATCAACACCGCTACGTGCTACTGGCGAATTGCAGCCACTTCCGTGCCCTGCCAAGCCTTTTGATCGCGTTGGCGTTGACCTCTACGGCCCCCTTCCATTGACATCAGATGGCAATCGGTGGATTATAGTGGCGGTCGACCATCTAACACGCTACGCCGAAACAGCCGCTTTACCGAGCGCTACCGCTCAGGATGTCGCCTCTTTCATTTTACGTCAATTTATCCTTCGACATGGCGCAACTCGAGAGCTCCTTAGTGACAGAGGCCGCGCTTTTCTCTCCGAGGTCGTCGAAGCTCTGCTTTCGGAATGCCAAGTCATTCATCGAAAAACGACAGCATACCACCCGCAGACTAATGGGCTAACGGAACGGTTTAACCGCACGCTGGGTGATATGCTCTCAATGTACGTGGCATCTAGTCATAGCAACTGGGACCGTGTTCTCCCATACGTGACATTTGCATACAATACTGCAATACAAACAACCACGGGATTTTCACCTTTCGTTCTTCTTTATGGACGTGACCCTTCCCATACAATTGATACTCTACTTCCCTACCGTCCTGATGCTTCCGAATGTCCACCTATCTCCGATGCTGCTCGACAAGCCGAAAAGTGCCGCCAGCTCGCCCGTGCGTTCACCTCGGACGAGCAGCAACGCCAGAAATAAAACCGTTGCACCTCTCTTCCGGATCCCAACTATGCCCCAGGGTCTCTCGTGTGGCTTGCCATCCCATACCAAACTCCGGGACTCTCATCAAAACTTGTCCCCCGGTACGAGGGGCCTTACACCGTTTTAGAGAAAACCTCTCCGGTTAATTACCTAATTGAGCCAGTTTCCCGATCGGATGACATGTGCCGGCGTGCACGTGACATCGTCCATGTTTCCCGCCTAAAACCGTATCATGAGCCTTTCCCTGAAACGTCTTAGCTCGCCAGGATGGCTCTTTTTTTCAGCGGGGGCGATTGTGAAGAAGAAGATGTGCCTGCAGCAAGCAGCATCGCAAACGCCCAGCTCTCTCGGCTCGTGCTTCGGTTCGTTGCTGTGCCGATCGCTGGACGGTTCTTCACGCTGTCTCGTCGCTGTCTTTAACGGCTAATAAACCTCCTCACAATATATATATATGAAAACGCTAAAAAAATACAGCCAGAAAAAGGACTATGGCGCGAGGAATTGAACGTGGAACCACCGCGTCGTAAATGCGAGGCGTTAACCACTGACCTACCGAGAGGCTTTTTTTTCTGGCGCCTCCTTCATTGTTTAAAGGGCAAGTTATTTATATCTACCACTTACCACTGTTGGCGGGCATCTCGGGGTGGGGGGGGGGGGGGCTATCGTGTTTTCAGCATTATCAGCAAGATGGCGCAATAAGCCCTCGGCGGCACTCATCTTCCACGTGTACTTTGACTTCGGCCGCTGGCGGAGAGGAGGAAAGTGGAGACAATTTCTCGCGTGCCCTTATCTCCCGGTAGGTAGGGTCATACGTCTTGGGTGGTGTTGGGCTTGCACTGGGACGATACTGTTGTAGTTACGGGGCGCACAGAGGCCACTGCAACCGTTGCAGAGCTTCCGTTTGCGAAATGGGTGCGCTTTTCAGACACAGCCAAGTAACAACTGAGACGCTTGTTCTCGTTCATCTGTGCCTGTGAATAAGTTTCATGTGTCGTTTGTGCGTGAAAAACGCGGAGCACATTTAGATTTGCTTGCCATTGTGCGCGTCACCTTTCATTTTGTTGCTATCGCTTTTGTGGCTTCGCCTTTGCAGCAAAGCTGTGACTTTTCTTTTGCTGACAACATGCGTCGTGAATGGTGGTACACAATTGCTAGTGGCTATCAGTATAGTGCCGCTGAGAGATGTTGCCCCATGCAGATGTACGCAAGTACTGTGAATTGATCTTTTGCTATATCAGCATTCGTTACAACGTCATTAAACTGGTACTATCACTTTATTTTTGCTTTTTTTCCCGCAGTGAAATATGTGTATTTTTATGCCTGCTTGCCTGTTTCCCTGGTCAGGTGAATCCCGACCGTGCGCCGCTCATGGTATACCTGCAAGGAGGGCCGGGAAAGTCGGGCACATTCGGCCAGTTCCTCGAGGTCGGGCCCCTGGGCGTCAACTCGGAAGGAAAGCTCTACCGGAGGCAGCACACCGTCCAGAAGATGTTCAACGTCATCTTCCTCGACCAGCCGGCAGGGTCGGGCTTCAGCTTCACGAAGTCGGAGATGGGCTACGCTCGCAGCATCGACGACTGCGTGACAGGCGCGAGGGAATTCCTCAGGCAGTTCCTGCTCCTGTTCCCTGAGAACAGGAACCGCGAACTCTACGTAGCCGGCGAGAGCTACGGATGTGAGTCGATTCAGCTGTGCACACGTCACATTGAAGGTCTATACAAAGAGTCCTAAGACACATGTTGAAGTAATCATAAATTACCATTGTATCATTGCTAATTGCCTCGCTAATTGATGGCTGCACACATTTCTCGAATCCATCGAGAACGAGCGGAGTTACACAGATTTGTAGCACAATTTAGGCCCTTCCGCTCTTCTCTCTTCCCGAAGAGCTCATTGGAAGCCACACCAGAAAAGATGACACGGGGGAAACAAGCTATAGGGGCACGCGCGTCATGAAACGTGATCGCTATCTCGCATCAGGATTCTTGTGCGCGCTAGTGTTTCAACTGCGTAGTCTCAGCCCACTAATAAGCGTGGTGCGGGCATGTGACCAAACCCAAGGGCAAGATGTGCATCTGATATAGAAGCCGTCCCTGAAGCCGTCAGCTATCAGCCAATAAAGGCAATCTGCTGTTTGACGACATGCAACTGAACCGCCGAACTGAGTGAGTAGGGGAACTCGGTATGAAGAGAGGGGACTAGAGAGAGTGGCAATTTCTCGCTGCAAATGTAAGCTCTACGTTTGACGCACGAAGCCAAAATATGGCTGAAGTGGTCACAGCGGTGTTTCCTTGTTCGTATTTTGTGTTTTTAAAGATGATAGTCTTTCTTGGGATACTGCGACGCCGACTCGTGCTTATTGGTAAAATATACTTGCATGTCCAGAAACTTGAAGGTATTGTTAGTGGACATTTCACTAATTAAGTTTCGCTAGACAAGGCGGTGCGAACCCCGTTCGTTAAAAGTGTGTAGCCTCTTGCATGTCTTAACATTAAAAGTTGTCGAAACGTGGCCTCGCAAAATCTTTTTTTGTCGGCCGTGCTGTCATGATCTTACCACCACCAAGTGAATGCTAGTTTTAAAGATCTGCTGCAGAGGTTACGAACAGCAGGCTTTCCTTTGACCTTGCTTTGTAATGTTGCCGAGCAAACGATGGCAACATTAAAACCACCAAAAAACCAAAAGAAAAAAGAAAACCCTACCAAAAGTGTCCTGGTCATTCCATATGCTCATGAAGTGTGCCGCACAATCTAAAGAAAGTGTTACAAAAATCCGATGTCAAATTCGTTTTCAGCGCACCTCATAAGTCACCTAGTCTCTGCAAGAAGACTAACGATGACCTTGCAGAAACCCGCTGGAAAAAGAAGCTCGTGCAACATTTCATTAACTGCAGAGGAAACTGTTCATAACATTCTCCTCACTTGCGGAAGATGTCGCATTGGTCAAACAGGCCGATGCATAAATGAAAGGCTTGGAGAACATTCATACTCGCTAAAAATGTCTGTGAGTAGGCACGTTGCAGACCATTACAAAAAAATGTGATTGTGAACTAATCTTTAAAAATAGTGACATTCTAGGCACTAACGCAAAGCAAGGACCACGGAAACTTTTTTAGCCTTTTTGCATAGCGGAGAACATTTTGTCATGTAGCTTCACTATATTGCTTCAAAAAAGTGAAATGAGATATCTGTTGAAAGTGTGAATCGGCATGTTTCAGAGATAACAAGTTTTTCGATACGTTTACTGATTCTGTTTTCCTGTATATATTGGAGTGCAAACGCAATTAAACATGATCATTAGTCAGCGCGGTGTTTGTGTCTTCTCGCATCCGTCCTGTTCCAGTGCTGTTTCTTTTTTAAATGTCTGTGAGGGAACGATTGAGCTATTTGTTTTAAGAGTCAGAACTTTACACTTCAGGACGAAAGTGCTGAGTGTAATTTATTACTTCTACCACCATCTCTCCTTTACAGAGTATCTCTAAATGGCTGCCTGAAGGCAGATACGTGGTATAGGAAACATAGGAAGCGTATTATGAAGTTCGGCGATGATACTGATGGCATTACGAGAAACGAAAAACAAAATACTTCGAATGGGCACAAGCTCTTAAACTCAGAGCTGATGGGAGACCGACGTGTTGAATGGCGGAAGGATAACTTGTTTATATTATTTGAAGAAAAAAAGAAAATATAAAAAACATTTGGCTTAAGGTTATTAGAGGCACATGCAAGTGACAAGATAACATGTAGAGAAACTTTAAATGATCACGTATGTTGTGAAAATTAGTAAGTAGATGACTTTCCTTCCTTGTCCGATTTCGATGCTATGTCTATGCAAATAGACGTCACATTTTAGGCGGCAATTGAACGGGCACTTGATGCATTTCTATTTATAATCTGGCCAATTTGTGGATGGTCGCGAAGTGCATAAAGTGTATTGGTCTTGGAATACACCTAAAACCTACTGTTGAGGCAATACTTTGAAAGCACACAAACGTCCACACTTCATTTCATCTGCTGTCCGTTGCGTTGTTTCATCCTTAACAAGAATTCTCTACTATTGTTACGCTTCTCAGCTCGCGGAGCAGTAGCCCTGTCCTACAGCTTAATGAAGAATCCAGATCCCGGCATACCGCTCAAGGTGTCCGGCGTGATTGCCGCGTCTGCCGTGTTCGGCAACGCTCTAGAACTACTCGACTCAGCCGACACGCTGTACCATTTCGGCATGCTCGACACCCACGGCCGAGACGTCTTCATCCAGACGATGGATCGCGTCCGCCATCTGTGGGCCAAAAACCGCACTACGGCGCTGAACATTCTCAGTCACACGATATTCCGGCTGTACCACACGCCCAGCCTCTTCATGAACCTCACTGGTTACAACGATCACGCGAGCCTGTTCAGCGACCGGAAGCCCCGGGAGTACGTCCACTACTTCCGGTACATGAAGAAGCCTCTTCTGAAAAGGGCTCTGCACCTATCTTCCCACGCTACGGTAGACAGTACCCGGCTTCTGGTGATGCTTCATCTCTCCAGTGACTACGTCACCGATTTGCGTGATAAAGTCGAGTATCTTCTCGATGCCACAAGGATGCTTATCTTGACGGGCCAAATAGACACGGTATTTGCCACGGTGAACCAGGAGAAGTACTTGATGACGCTCAACTGGGCAGGGGCGTCGGAGTTAAGAGAATCAGCGAGGAGACCATGGTACGTGGACGGGCCTGGTTCTAAACTTACGGGCTACGTCAAGACCGCCAAGGACCTCACGTACGTGGTTCTGACTCGCGCCGGACACCACGTAATAGCCGACGCATCTGAAGCCGCATACATTGTGATCGAGCGCTTCGCATCTGGCGTCGACGTCGTCGATGCCAAGAGAAAAGTGTTGGGCGTGAATGAGCGCCGCTAACATGGCCACCACTTTCGCGAATGGTAACGCCACAAAGCATTGATTGCCAATAAATCCTATGCATCAGGGAATTTCTTTTAGGGTAGCCTAGGTGAGACATTGAAGATGAAGGTTTCCATATACGTTGCTGTGCGCTTATAGAGACGACACAAGTGGCTTAGGTGGTCACGATGAACTAATCAGTAGTATACGCGTGGTTAAGCGAGGAGAGTTCTGTCAACAAACTGACGCCCTTATTATAGATTTCATAACTGGTGTCGTTATACTTCATATTTTACTACGTAAATAGACAACGACACTTGCTTCAAAACCACCGTCCCATATGAGTGGTCTATAGCTCCTACAGATTGAATTAAAGAATGGAAATAAACTAAAACTGTAGCTGAAGCTCATTGATTGATTGATATGTAGGGTTTAACGTCCCAAAACCACTATATGATTATGAGAGACGCCGTAGTGGAGGGCTGAAGCTCATACATGTCTTCCTCAGCGCCTGCTTTTGCAGCGTTTCAATATTTCGTTATGGAAGAATGTTGGTCTGTATACCTGTACACTAATATGTCTTTCTTTGTTATGTAATGAAAGGTAAACTGTCAGCAGCCTCGTGAATATTAACGTGTGAGTTATAAGTTAAGCACGTGCAATTAAAGAGCAAAAATAGAATAAGTTTAGCGACAATAACCAATGGACCACTTGTGTCTCAGTCTGATACGTGGGATGATGGGAGCAGATGAATAAATAGGACTACGAGGAAAATGGGTAATTGGTTCTACTCTCTATAGTTGCCTATACTTCCTACTCGATGGCGCGCAGCTGTGTTTCTTTATGGAGTATAGAAAACAGCGCGATCGTTCTTTTTCTGACCAACCATGGTGTTTAACGGGGTATTCCCACGGGGGACAAATTCTCGCGTGTGAAGGCGGAGTCTAGTTACGTCAACAGGAGGCGATATATGCTCTCAAAAGTCCCTCGCTCCCATAGAGTTTCCTAAAATTAACTAGAGGGTGCTCTGGCGCTGCGATCGTTCAGCGACCATGGGAACGATGGGTAGTACACACATTTGCCTAGTCTTCGTACTTGCGGGCGGCGAATCGTACTGGCGGCTTCGTTTATTGCTGGTTACGATTTCGCTTTAAAGAAAAGAACAAAACGTTTTGAACTTCGTGACCTGGTTTGAAAAGGTAAGTTTCAAAAATAAGGTGGTGAAGCACAACCACTGAAAATTTGCTGATTTTTTGTTTCGTAAAAAAACAACTCCAAGCCACACGAACACAAAAGAAGCCAGAAGCAGGCCAGAAGTACGAATATTAGACAAGTGTGTGTACTACCCATCATTCCCATGCTCACTGAAGCGCCGTGTGTTGCAGCTCCCGTAGACACTAGCGCCAGAGTTCCCTCTAGTGTATATTAGGAAACTCTTTGCCCGCTCCCACGATTATGGTGAACACTGAGACCAGACTATACTAAGGAGGCTTGTAGAAGGCTGTGACCCAACAGTATTTCATGTGCCCCGACCTGAACAAAAGTGTCATTTTGCGTCCGCTCGACAAGCTGTTTTTCCCCCACACGAGTGATTGATTGTCCTGTCTGGGAAAAGGTCTGTCTCCTCAGTAGACACGGGGAGGTCCCGCTTATACTCCCTAATCAGTGACGTCTTTGTCACGGGATCTGCAACTCTCGCTTCTAATTCGAGATTTTTTTTTTCCTCGTGTGAACACTGCTTAATGGGTTACGGCTCTTGACTGCAGGGCTGAAGGTCGCGGGATTATATGCCGCCCGCATTTTCGATGCAGACGAGAACAGCTGAGGTCCCTGTACATGTAGATACATGTGTGCGTTGAGGAACCCCAGCTGGTCGAAATTTCCAGAGCCCTCCCTTACGGCGTCCCTCGTAATCCTACTGCCGTTTTTGGCACGTGAAACCTGCGGAAGTATTAATATTGCAAGTAATAGTTTTTGAACGGCGGGACAGTTCTGGGTGGTCTCCACTCTATTCGAGCCAGTTGTTACGTACGCGCTGACTTTCACAGTTTCAAAGTATACGCTTCACACAACACCTGAGTTACCGAAAAAAAAACGGAGTTATACATCGTATACTAAATACTCCGCTTTGTTCAAGACCCCTTGGTTGATTTGAGATCGAAATGCTTTCATACGATGAAGTGTTAGGCCTGTAGCCGTCACAGATTTCAACGTTCTCTTGAATACACCATGAGATAATGAATGACATAGTAAACATAGATGATCTTTTATTACGAATATCTGTGCCCTCCTTCACCCGTGATATGATTATCGGGTTCGCTTACTTCGAGTAACTGAGAACACGCCTATCAACACACACACGTTCAATTCCTTAAAAGCCTCGATTCTTGTCGCGAAGCTGTTGTTTCACGCGTAGAAAACTTTGTAAGGGTAACATGCTGGGAGAATTCCATAACAAAACAATGGAAAACTCTGTGATATTTGACGCTAGGTTCGCTAGGTATTTCGGAAAATTCCTCAGGCATAATAATAAGGCAATCCGCGTATATACTCATGCTCTAAAACGTGACAAAAATATAAGTGCGCGATACCGTGCCGCTACTGTTGCACCTGGACTGCTGTTTCACCTGTATGAGGACTGCTTCGGACGAAATTCTCTTTCGAGACAGATTTCAATTACGCGACTAAGTTTAAAAAGACAACAGGGACGTCGCAGTGAAGACAGAGGCCGGGAGCACGTGTTTCGGGAGATGAGCGGTCAAGTTACAATAAGCTGTGAAGCAACGTAATCGTCACCACCATCGCAGTGCATGGAGGAGAATAAGGAAGCGAATCACAATAATGACAGTTTTTAGGTGACTTCGCACGGCCTCCGCAAAAACAGCTTGTTAAAACAACGACTCTATACAGGTGTGTAAAGTGTGAGTATCTGAGATCACGTGGCAAAATATTGAAATTGAACTAGGTGTCCCAACATCCGACCTGCACAGCGAGTGCGTCATTACATGATCAGACATTACATTACATGCTCAGGGCAGCAGCATCAGCTAAGTGTGTGTTCCAATACTCACGGATAAATAGACATCTCAGTGGGAAGCGACCCGCTTACGCCCCATCCCGTTGTCGCGTAGCAAACAAAATAGCCAGCTTCCAGAGGACGAAATCGGAGACAAAGACGACGTGCGCTGCTTCGCTGTCCCAGTAAAACTTCGATTCAACAAAATACCCAGATAGCTCGAATCTCTCCGCTATGGTGTCTGCACACAAGCAGACGCTTTTGCAAGAGCTCAATGCATTTCAATTTTTTTATCGATTTGAAGACGAATGAAGTAAGAGAAACAACAGCTGCGTTAGTTTTTCTTTCTGTTTTCGACGTGAGCTCACGTCACGTCACGTAGACGTCTTCCAGACGCGTCACATTTCTCGGACAACAATGGCTCAATGCTGTCTTCGAAGCTGTCAGCGTGCGAGGCTGTCGAGAATCTGAGCTCAGCCTAAGTGTGCAGCTGATTAAGCGCCCGTGATGTCACCTGGGCACGTTGTGAGTATACTTCGCTAATTCGCGACATGAATTGTGGCGTAGTGGGCATTTTGCAACTTCACTTGAAGTAGGCATTCCGCGGCAGTTCAAAACAGCGAAAAGTTCGTGTCTTCACCATTAGGTCGAGGCATTAAACTGTTAGCCTGGCTAGCAACTGAACAGGCGACGCAAGATGGCCCCGGATATACACTATTGTGTTTTACTCTTGAAAGCGGTGCTCAAGCGCCTACCCAGTTCTTTTTCCGATGCTGTTTCAAGCACTTCGAGGCTATATACCGCGAAATAACTGTCATAACAGTCTAACCCTGCTTTTTTATGAGCCATAGGCTTTTTAGGCTCTTATTTGTCCGTTGACGCCATCGTTGTAGCTTTCCGTCGAAGTTGAACACAAGTGTTACATATACAGTACATAGAACATTCATAGCGCGCATATGGTTTCGAAAGAGAGAGTGCTCTGTCCGTGCATTTGTCTTTCCGTACATCAGTGGAGGTGTCCTTTCGTCTTACCTTCCTTCCACCTGTGTATCATCGAAGGTTCAACATCCTTTAACCATACATCTGAGTGTCAAATTTTTTTTGAACCTAAATGTTTGTTCTCGCGCTGTCGTGTACAACGCCTCCCGAGACCAGTCAAGCTGCTGACGGCAGCTTTTAGCCCCGAACGACGTTTCTAGTTTGTATTCGAAGAAACAATAAAGTTTGAAGTGGAGTGTTGGAACGTGCGACCAATAATCAATTTGGTGAAGGAATCCAGGCGGTGTAAGGTGACAGCGTTAAAGAGCTCCTTTCGTGGAAATTCTGGCGTCGGTGTAGGCATCGGTGAGGGCATTGTTATTTGTGAGCGACAAATCATCATCTTGTACCTGGCTAAAAAATACAAAAAGAAGATTCTTCTCGGTGAAGTTAGAGGGACTAACAATAGATTTTTATTGACCCATCTTTTTATGGCACAACGAAAACTTTCCCCTTGGTAGTTGACAAAGGTGCGTCGGTTGACTACAAAATTGCGCGGGAATTTTGTAGGTAGACTTTTGTTATCTGAGAAGCCAATAATAGAATGGTCAAAGCAAAAAGAAACGCTGAGAAGTCATGGTGAAGCCGATAGCCCTCATCGCGCTCAACGTTCTGATTTGGTGGAACTGAGCGCAAATGTCGTTAACCATCTTATTCGAACATATGTGATCATTCGGGATATAAAAATGTGGTTGAAGAAGTTTTGCCCATACTCGTCACGTAAAGTTTTTCTTTTGCGAGCCAGGTGCTCTTCTAGTGCTTTAATAACTTTCATACTGCTGCTCATGAGTTACGGATCGCACGTGAATTAACATGTGGTGCCACTGTTCAGTGCGCAGAAAATAATTACGCGCTTGGACGTTTTAAGTTGGCATATAATATAAGAGAGAGAAGTGCACTGCCATTCCACAGTAGTAAATAACCCATTATAACCACCAACACCACCAAAAACTCACCTGATATT